TCTCTCTCTCTCTCTCTCTGCCTCTCCTCTCTGTGTAACTCTGACTTTCAAATGAATAATAAAAAAAGAACTAACGCCAATTCTTCTCAAGCTATTCAAAACAATCAAAATGAAGGGAATCCACCCAAATTCTTTCTATGAAGCCAGCATCACCTTAATTTCTAGACCTGAAAAAGATAAAACAAAGAAAGAGAACTACAGACCAATCTCTGATGAACATAGATGCAAAAATCCTCAACAAAATACTAGCCAAATCAAATCCAACAACACATCAGAAGGATCATCCATTTGGACCAAGAGGAACTTATTCCTCATATGCAGGGATGGTTCAACATTTGAAAATCAATCAATGTGATACATCACATTAACAAACTGAAGAACAAAAACCATATGATTATCTCAACAGATGCAGAGAAAGCATTTGACAAAATACAACACCCTTTTGTGATGAAAACTGTAAGCAAATTAGGAATAGATGGAACATTTCTCAACACAATCAAGGCAATTTATGACAAACCCACGGCCAGTGTCCTATCATATGGGGAAAAGTTGGAAGCATTCTCACTGAGATCCAGAATCAGACAAGAATGCCCACTTTCACCACTACTTTTCAATATAGTCCTGGAAGTTCTAGCCAGAGCCATTAGAAAAGAAAAAGAAATCACAGGGGTACAAATTGGGAAGGAGGAAGTAAAACTATCCCTATTTGCAGATGACATGATCCTATACATAGGGGATCTCAAAGACTCCACTAAGAGACTATTGGAACTCATAGAAGAGTTTGGAAAGGTAGTAGGATACAAAATCAACACAGAAAAATCAACAGCATTTGGATATACAGACAATGCCACAATTGAGAAAGAGCTTCTTAGATCAATTCCATTCACAATAGCTAACAAAAAATAAAATCAATAACCTTGGAATAAATTTAACCAAGATGTCAATGATCTCTATGATGAGAATGTTAAAATATTAAAGAAAGAAATAGAGGAAGACACAGAAAAATGGAAAAATCTTCCATGTTCATGGATTGGAAGACTCAATATCATCAAAATGGCCACACTACCGAAAGCAATTTACAGACTCATGTGATACCAATCCAAACACCAAAGACATTCTTCTCAGACAGAAAAAATGATATTGAAATTCAAATGGAAACACCAGAGACCTGGATAGTCCAAGCAATCTTATACAACAAAAACAAAGCTGGATGCATCACGGTACTAGATTTCAACATATACTACAGGACAGTTATAATCAACTTGGAATAATGATTAATAAACAGAATTTTGGGTAAATTGCAGTACCTTCCTCCCTATTTCTCAGCATTTAAGATATTTAAGTTTATTTGATTGCTCTGTATCAACCTTACTCTTTCTAGTTTTCCCAGAAACCTCCTTGTTCCAACACTTGAACACTCTCACGCCTTTCTCATTTAGATAGAAACTGGAATTTCTGACCAGAAAACATTTAAAAGACAGGGAAGGGTCCCCTAGTATTGTACCTGACAGTACAGGGCTGGCCCTGGAAATAGCCATGTCAGCTGTATGTATGTTAGAAAAAACTACTTAGCAGCAGGAATTTCTGAAACTTAGTCTTAGAAATTTAAAGAACATGTTAAAAAGTTACTAAATAAAAAAAAATAATGAAAAAAAAGTTACTCAAATGCATTTGCTAAATTTATCATCTATGTCCCACATATGTATCTGATGGGAAAACATATTTGCCCTCAAAAAGGTCGCTGGATTTTAAAATTACAGTAGTCTTACCTTTAGCAAGCTTAAAATCTGGCAAACAACAACTTTAGAGTAAAAAGCAATAGGCTATGGCAGCTCCAATCTGAACTGATGTAATGGTAGCCTCCCTGACCCCACATACTGTTGTTTAGAGAACTGGACCTCTGCATTCTTAAAAATGTTAAGTCCGCCTTTTCCTAGTGAAGGCAAAATCCTACAAAGAAGTGCCTACAGGAGAAATATCTGATTTTTCTGGTCAGGTAGAAATTCTCAGTATATGATCCCAGAGCCACCAACTTCACCCAAGGCTTGTTAAAAAATGCAAACCCAAAGCTTTCGTCTAACACCTCCTGGAACAGAAATTTTGGGAAGCGGTGCTTAACAATTTGTGCTTCACCAAGACTCCCATTCTCACTCTCACTGAAGTTTGAGACCACTGCTTTAAGGCAACTGAGAGCTTTTTGGTACTGTCTAAAGGAAGGTCTCGGTGACATCAATTTGTAAACAATTGGTTACACTTAAAAAAAAAACAAAATAAAAATCCACCCAATTTCAGAGACTGGCTTTGAGCACCACAACACTAAGGTACACTTGAAGTAAATAAAATAGAAAAGGCAAAATAAAAAGTACCTGAAGATACGCACTATAAAGTAATAAGGTACATTTAAAAACTTCATAGTAAGACATTACGATTTTAATTTACTTATTAATATTTCAAGTAAAATTTTTGAATATTATTATATGAATAGATTTCCATTAATAGGGACCAATAGGTCATCATTTTTATCTTGTATAGCTATTTCTATTGCTGAAAAATATCATCTATTTTTAACACAGAAATAATGTACTGCTTTAAAATCAAGATTAAGCAACACACTGTAATAAAGAAATCAATTGGAAACAACAAGACATACATTAGGTAACCAGTGACTGCACTGAAACAGATACACCACTCACATATTCCATTATGCAAATGAATTCAAAGATATTTCATGACTGATCAGCTAGAAGGGACATAATGATTTATAATTCAAATAACTGAGCAATGAAATCAAATTGAGCTAATATATATTTCTAAATATGCAAACCTGAAATAATTGTTAAAAAATATAAATCAATGTATTCATGTTGAAATCATTTGTATTCTTTGGTTTAATGTTACAGCTGTTAAACTTATCTAATAAGTTTCTTGAAAATAGGATTTTTTATTAACTTCAAGAAGTATTCAAAAGCAATAAACAGCTTGTAAAATAAAAGGTTATAATATTTGGATTAAAGAATACATAGGAAGTATAATGTGATAGAAAAAAATCTCAAATAGCAGATACGAATAAATTAAGCATTATGCAAATTACACCAAAAAGAATACAAATTAAATTAATCTTATATTAAATATCAATTCCATCCTAAATATAGGGTAAATCTAAACAATAGATATGTGCTATAAAATTACCCAGGCTTCTTTTCAGATAATGTGCTCTCAAAGTAATTCATTGTGAAAAGGCCGGAGTTAGCAATACTACGAAGTACTTATAAACCACTTCATATGTTTGAAATAAAGAGTATTTCAGTATTATTATTAGAAAAAATACAGGTTTACTTTTTTTATAAGAAAAAATACATATCTTAAAAAGCCAAAATGACCACTAGAATTGGGTTGTACATCACTTTCCAGTAAAAAGGAAAAACAGCTTGGACAGGTGTAATTTATCATTTTTCTGATTTAATATCAAAGAAATATATTAAAATAATAAAAAGAATCCTGAAATCCTCAAAATTTGTAGTGATAAATAGCCCTCCCTGTCTTTATTGCATTATACCTACTAACAGAAATATTGCATGGTGGATTTTGCCAGACAAGGACGATTATTTTCCAATAAAAAGTTGCATATTAAATTCCAGCACAAAAGTGGGTGTCTAATACTTTGGAAATCTTTTATGGTTTACTATGGAACACAATTTTAAACTTAACTAATACAACCATATCCCTGGAATGAACCTACATCAATGGTTTCCATCCAATGTCACTCATTTTCAGAATTTGTCTTCATATTAAATATAAGCAAATCTTAGAGGTTAACTAAATCAACACTTATTTTTCACAACACCTGTACATTTGATTGCTAACATTTAAAAGACAATCTACATGGTTCTCTTTCATTGGTAGAAATATGACAACAGTATCAGATATAATACAATAAGGAAGGATGATTCCTGGTTTTTAAAAAATCTGCTATTAGATAAGGAGAGCTACACATTTAACATGTAATGGGAAATCTTATTTTATAGTAGCTATGAGGTTGATTTGTTGGGGTCAATAATCAATGAAGTAGTCCAAAAGCTTATCATTTCTTTCCTATTACTCCTTAGTTCCCCTCAACTAATGAAAATAATGCTCTTCTCAACTAACGAATACTAGAGATATACTTAATCTTAGGAATTCAATTTTTATAAAGTAATGTTTTAGAACACTTTGATCTCCTTAAAATTAGTTATATGCTTTATGACAAGAATTTCTGATAATTATGGAAAACAATGGAATAAAACACATGTGGTTGCATGCTTTCTTATGTAACAATTTAATATGGGTGAGTATAAACATAACTTTCTCTAGCTGGGATCTACATATTTCCATATAAATTCAGTTGTCACCACATAAATACTTCATATATGCAGTTAATACTAGGGGTCTTCAAAGTTTCATGGAGGGGTAGGGAGACACTTCCATCCTGTATCAGAGTACCTGGAGTTGACTTCTGGCTCTATTTCCAATTCCAGCTTCCTGCCAATGCAGGAAGGGAGGGAGAGGTGACAGCTCAAGTATTTGGGTCCTTGCCATCCACATGGGAGACCCAGGTTGAGTTTGCAGCTTGTGGCTTTGGCCCAGCCCAGCTCCAGCTGTTCTGCAGCACTTGGAGTGAACTGTGAATGGGAGATCTCTACTTGTTTATCTGTCTCTCTGTCTTTCAAATAAATAAAGTAATAAAACATTTTTAAAGTTCATGGAAATTTGCATTATGAAAAATTATATACAGATTACAATTTTTGTACCAAAATAAACATCTTTTAATTCAATTTTCCATGAACCATATGAAGTATGCCAATATAAAATGTCAAAAATAGGCATTTACAAGTAAGGCTAAATGAAAGGGCTTTTATTTTTTAAAAAACTTACAACATTATACCCAAGGAAAATACCTATCCAATAAAACACACTTACTAGGTTGTTTATATATAATACCAGATATACAGTGAAAAGGATATCCAACAGAAAGGTCATTTAGGAACTGAAGAGTTCTTGAAATTACAGGCTCACATCTTCCCCAGTATTTAAGGTTTGTAACACTAAATATAAAAAAAAGTTTTAAATTATAAAGAACATATTTGCTTGTGTAGGGAGAACTATAGAGGCATACAGTTGTCTATGTAAGTTGATGATCTATATCACAAATATCTCACAAAATGAAAGGCAGGTTCAAATACCAGTGGGATATGTTCTATTCTATTTTTATGGCATACTCAAAATTATCTAAGTCTAGAATGAACATTGCTCTCCGCATAGTGTATAACTCTATAAATTTAGTTTTGTGTAAATTAAAAAGTTGCCAAAGTGTTTTCCATAAGAAATATTATGTTTTTATCCAAACATGTTAGGGATTACGAAGAGGAATTAAAAAGAAAGTCAAATAGAGGATCACAGTTTACTGCCAAAAAATGAATCATTAAATTATGGCTCCAAAACTCACTTTTCTGATCATGACTATTTATCTAGTTTTGTTCTCTGAAAGCATAACAATACTGTCTATCTGTCATACAGGTCAAGTCAAACACCACTGGAGGTGTACAAGTTTAGGCTAAGTGTATGTACAAAGTTTTATCTATGACTAAAACCCAATTAAGTGTGCTAATGTTATGAGGATAAATTAGAACAGTTTCCAGGACAGTTTCTTCTGATGGCTACAGGTTCATATTAAAACCAAAGAATACCATAAGGGTAGTCATACTTCTCTCAATGATTCCAACTTGCAATAAACTCTTCAGTTGGCCTTTGAAATTATTTTTTTTTATTTATAAAAGGTGCCAAATTGATTCTAAGAGTCAAGGTCTACAAATCGTTTTAAGCCATATTCTGATGTTTGCACATTGTGGCTAAATGAACACCTTGACAAACTACCATGTCCTTTGGAGGCTGAGTTTTAAATATGTGACAGTAAGTTTCAATTAAGAATCATGCTAACATTCCAAGCAATTTAAAAATCTTTTACTAAAAATTAAAGCCTATAAAGACACAAAAACACAGTGAAGATCTACTATATTTAAAACAGAAACAAAAGTAAAATTAAAAATCAAAACATAACTCACATTTTCGTCATGAAAGTTTCCAGAACATGGTTGTCATCTGTTATTCCTAAGACTTCTGACATACGGGCATATACCTGCAGGAAAACATTTCATTGTTAAAAGCTCTGTCATTAACATACGTTTCCTAAACACTACACCAAATTAGACAAATGGAAAGACTTCATGCACTGTTCCATCCACACCGAAGTAGGAAGTAGGTGGGGAGAGTAAGTGAAGATTTTTTTTTAATTTTAAAATTTATTTTTTTCTCTAGAAAGTACCTCTCCTGCTTTGAAATCTGTATACACTCATACACAAAACATCGACACATCCATTTTCCTCCCACCATACTATATAATTTTCCCCCTCAAATGGTAAACCACCCCTTTCTAGAAGATGGCAGTAGGTATGCAAAGTAGAGTGGAAAGAAGGGTGCCTCAATAAAAAGCTCTAACCTTTAACAAATTTCCTTGTAGTCCAGATGGCAGCAAAATATCCACTCACTAAGATTTTGCAAGGCAGTTACACAAATAGGATTTCAAAAACCAAAGAAAGTTCATAAATTTATGAAAATTCTCCTCAAATATCCCCTAATTAAACTCCTCTCCCCTCCCCCCAGTATATAGAGAGGTAGGTCTTACTTTTCATGCTGCAACTGAAATCCCAAGCTCAGGGATTCTCTGTTGAAAACATCAGGGCCTGGGAATCCACTAAGCTTCCACTTAAGGAAGTGTTGGTTGCAGAGTTTGGGGTGCAAACATTTCCGTCTTAAGCCACACTGAGCTTATAAGTACACATCTGACATCAAGTGGGAAAATGCCACCGGCAGCCAATGGAATATCCCTAATAGCCTGGCAAAGCTGAGAGGTGGGTTAACACCTCCATACTCCCTGATGCTCTGGTGTGATTCCAGTTTATCCCTGCCAGACACCAGCTGTATGGGATTTCTCTTCTGTGATTCGCTCCCCTGTGATTGTGTTCTCTCACTTTCTACTGATCTGCGTATTTCCCATGCATGGCAACTTAGCTTCCACCTCTTTTGCCCTTTGTTTTTCGTATCTAAACATCAGCTTGATATACTGCAATAGGTCATGAAAGTAAGATAAAAATCACAAGGCACTACAAATCATGCAGAGTTATAGGGTATTACAGAGCAGGAGAGCTTTTTATTGCAGACATCTCGTATTTAGAATTTAAACACCATTCATATCGGAAGTTTGTGTTCCAGGTTTCAACTCAAGTATTATTGTCTGGAAAACTCCTCAGGCTCAGAAAGAGAGAAAGAAAAGGAGCTGAGTGTAGAGAATGAAAGAAGGAAAAAAAAAAAGGGCTGACAGTGTAAGAGAAGCAGGGGGCTAAGGGAGAAGGAAGATTGAGATTCAAATTCCTGTCCTACCGAAAAGCATTTCAATGACTATACACCTAATAGGAGAGCAGGCCTTCACCTCTTATAAGATTGCAGTTATCACTGTGGGTCCTAAGATGTTTGGAGAAAGAGGGAGGTAGGGAAGAAGAACCTAGGAAAATTAGTTACCACCAATCTTCAATGATCAGAAAATTTAAAGCATGTAAAAGACTCACAGGAAGAATGATATGCAGAAGTTTCCTTAGTTCATTATGAATCCAAAACCTGTCTTACAGATAGGAGTATCTGAAATGGGTCCCTTGGAAAATCTGATATTAATATGATTTACAACACACAAAGCTATTCACAACGTATCCCCAAGTTACCTCATCTTCCACCATTTCCCTCAACCTCAAGTCACAGTGAATTTGCAATTTCAGATGTGTATGTGTGTGTGCTGGTCATTTTGCCTGAGTCAGTCTACCTCCTCTTCCCATGATTCCCATTCAAAAGTCACCTCCTCTGAAACCTTTGCCTTCCCAAGCAGGGTGAATCACTCTCCCTTATCTGGTCTATTCCTCTGACTACAGTAACTGTTTGGGCGTACATCTCCCCCAGTACACTGAGAGCTTCTTGAAGGGTGACACTGTGCCTTATTCTTTTGTGTCTCAGCACCTACGACAATGTTTGTTAAATGAATACCACATGTGTTTAATGTACAATGATGGAAGTCATGGTCTGGACCCACTAGTACTATATTACAAAAGAATATCCCACAAATGATGAAAAATGAAGATTCTTATGAGTAAGTTAATATTAGATTCCACAGACAGAAGACAACAGAAAAAGTATTATTTAGAATGCCTTGTACTATTACTTTAACCTATGAATATCTAGTATTTGATTATAACAATTGTCTTTCAATTTTATTTTAGTAAAACCCTTGTCAAATGAAAAATTTCAAATAAGCCTAATTGATAAAATCAAATAATAGTGGGGACTTGATCCCTACTGTCATCTGTCCAAGGCACATTTTGCTCTGTTCCAGAGGCCCTTATCTCTGACAGGAACTGTAAAGGAATTTTTCATTTAACAAAGGTAAAAGCATGCAAAGTATTTTTTTAAATTATTTTTTATGTATTTGAAAGATTTACACACACACACAGAGTGAGAGAGAGAGAGATAGAGACAGAGAGAGAAAGATCTTCCATCCACTGATTCACTCCCTCCCCAGACAGCTGCAATGGACAGGGCTGTGCCAGGCAGAAACCAGGAGACTGCAGCTTCCTCCAGTTCCCCATGTGGGTACAGGGGTCTAAGCTCTTGGGCCATCTTCAATGGCTTTCCCAAGTGCATTAGCAGGGAGCTAGATTAGAAGTGGAGCAGCCAGGACTTAACCCGGTGCCCATATGGGACGCTGGCATCACAGACTGCAGCTTTACCACCTATGCCACAATGCTGGCCCCACAGGAATATGTTTAAACTAGCTCTACTACAACTCAAAGTATAAATTCTCCTGATGGTATACAGGATCATCTTTATAGATAAATAACATTATCATAAATTCAGTGTTTTGATATATTGGTTTTTAGAAAGGATATGACCATTGCATTATCTTAACTCATCTATTTTATATCCATTGTATTTACATCTGTCATTCTCTGTTCTCTTTTGGTTAATTTTCTTGTTTTACATCACATAATGCCTACACTGTACTTCCATAAAATCAAATTTTGCATTTTCAATACTTCATAAAAGCTACTTATGGTAAAGCTCAAAATTAATGTAAATTTTATTTTAACAACACCATGCTGAGTAATAAAAATATAACAACTAAAATGTGATTTTTAACACTTTAAACACATATCTTTTTAGATGGATGTTTCTACAAGAACAAGTTTTCCAATTGTGTCTTCGGCATTTAACAGAGGAAGAACCAGGCAGGCAGGTCTGTTGTGCTCTGCTGTCAAAACAGTTTCTCAAAGCATCAGATTTGACCCAATAATATACAAGAACAAACAGTCAACATTGACACATGGCAGTGCTTTAATCCACAATTATCCTTGTAACTTGCACCATTCCTTTTATCATCCATTAGCTTTGATTCCCATTATCCTATCTAGAACTGTGTCAACGCTTTTGTCCTTGGGGATTTCTCTCCACTACTAGGATCTGACAGTCAAGCTTGAGTACTAAACAGGATCATTACCTCTTAAATCCACTTATCTGATCTACTGAATAGTAAATTGAAAAGCTCATTAAGAGCAACAATCTGATTTGTTTTCACGAGTGACAGGGTCATTTAAAATCAATGTGTGATTCCGGCATTTCTTTTAAAAGACTGTCTCACATCTTACAAGGCATCTACCTTACCACTCAGGGAAAATGCAGAAAATATGAAAATGTCTCCAAACATTTGGAATTTAATTATATCATACACATGGGTAATTTAGGGGTGGGAAGTAATTAGGTCAGTGAGGAAATACCTACAAAATTGTTTATCATATAGCACAAGTCAAGGAAAGTTTTCTCCAGAAAAAAAAATTGTAACATAGTATTTGGATTCTTCAACCCTTTCTACAACTTTTATCGCTTCATGAAAAATAGTTTTTATGATAGCAAGAAGCAACCACACTCCAACACCCATTTTCAGGAAGTACACGTGAGTTGGCACAGGAATGCAAGAGAAAAAAAAACCCTCACTTTTCATTCACAGGTTCCTAATCTTTTCTTTCAGAATCTGTTAAGATAATTTCATCATAATGAAAAAAAAGCAAAAGTCCAAAAAACGAGCGTAAGTCCATTTTTGTTGACAACCTTCAGAGAAGGATGACCCTGGATAAGTTGTGATATGTCTTACATAGTCAGAGAGGCACATGAGTCAGTGGCTTCCGTCTGCCAGAGTCCTCCTCCCTTCTGCTCTTTGCGAACACAAGGACATCTCTCAAAAGACTCTCCGCCTACCCGAGAGCAGGGATGCCACTCTGTCTTTTTATCTCCGACGCTTGTTTGTTAAGTAAATAAGGAGACTACAATGTTAAAATGAACCTTTTGTCTGAGTTCATTAGGAATTTTTTAACAAAGGGAAAACAACAATAAAAGGCATCTTTTCCCCACCCAACACTTTTTTTCCTGTACAAATAATATACCCCCAAATTCTACTCATTAGTGGTGTTTGCTGGTATAATCTTATTATTTAACAAGGTTGGCTTCAACATTCAAATAGTATTTTGGAAATTGTCCCTGTAAATTCAATAAGAAGAGCTCCCTCCTTTGCATCTTCAAGAGTGTCTATTGCTGCCAGTCTATTATCAATCAGCATATCTCAAATATTAGAATATGATCTTGTTGTGGTGTTAATTTTCCATGTGAAGACATATTTCCCCCACCATTTTAATGTGCTCCCAGAGAGCAGGAGAAATGTCTATTTCCCCCAGTATCTCCAATAGCACCTAAAACAATGTATTGGCAAATTTAGAAAAGAAGAAAAGGCATAGGGTTTAGTGCCAAGGATATGTGGATTTGAATTTTAGATCTGCTAGCTGGGTGTTACACTCTCTGCATCTTTCTTATTTTCTGTAAAACAGAAATAGCACAGGCTTTGGGGAAGATTAAATGATGACCCCTAACACACAGCACAGCACTTAGGAATCACTCAACAGATGCTGCTTCCCACTCCACCCTTCTACACGGACCCTCCTATAATTGTCAGCTACTACTTTTTCAAAAGGCGGCCCTTCACATACAAAACTAACAACAAGGTAAAGAGGTAATTTAAAGGTTTTCACATGGTGCAAAGATGGTTAAAACAAAACATTAAAGTGTGTTAATAACTTTGAAGTCTTTATATACATGTTCAGTCAATGAACATATTTTAGTACAATCAAAAATTACATTTGTTAAAGGCATAAAGCAACTGTGTAAATTTCATGACATAAAACCAAATTCTTTCTTCTTATAAACAGTTATTACCTCAGAAGCCAGAAAAATTACTCATTTTACCTAGTTACTCATCTTTTTAGCTATTGATATATAGGAGGTCATTAGAAATGATCACTATTACAGATTTCAGAAGGCATGCTCCTCAAAAACTGTTTTGATATACTTGTTTTCTTATCACTATTTATTTTACTGCAAAAGTTCTTAGACATTTCATAAAAGAGCATTTGGACACGTGTATAATGCTTCACTGCTTTAATAAATTCTCTAACTTCTCAACTAATCAAATGACAAATATTGCCTGTGCAACTGCAGGTAGCTGCAATAATCACATATATGGTTTTTAAAAGGGAATCAGATAAGAAAACCAGACAAAAGAATAACTGCACAAGTAGCAACCAGATTTTGAGTTGTAAATTTAATTTAATAAAGAATAAAAGCATGTGCTATGATAATTATTTTAAAACCATTCTTTTTCCAATTCTAATCTTTGGTCTTGGGTATCTGCAGTGCTGTCTCTAACATTCTGGTTATAACTTTGAAGAAACTAATTATGTCAATCCTTAAATTTGAAGTAGATTACAGAACTGGGAAACCCAGAATATTAGTTCCTAAAGGTTGTATGGATATATAATGACAGTCACAGAAATTCAATAACAGCCCTCTATGAAATGTACTCAAAAGCACCACATGAAACAAATTAAAAAGAACAATGAATCTCTCATTCTGTGCAAATAAGAAAATAAGAGGAAACACTAGTTCTATAGGTTTTCATAAGAGCTGTTATAATGAATTAAGATTTTGGATAATGAATCTTCAGAAAATTATAGTAAGTTAATACCCTTAGGCCTTCTATAAATGTTTAAGATGTTATAACTTCTCAAAGAGCTTTAGTACATTTTAAGTAGGCTCAGTGCAGAAAATTAGCAATGCTGTGGAAACCAACAACAAAGTATTCTGCCATCAAACGATATACCTTCCCAGAAGCAATTTAGTCTCAAAAACTTACATCAAATAATACCTCAAAAAACCCTCTAAATATTGTTGGGAATTTTAAGGTATTATTTCATCCATTGAAATGGCTTATCAATTAAGGGTTTTAACTGGTTGTAAAACAAAATTTCTCACTGGAAAGGATCCAATATAATGAAAGCAGTAAAGTTCCTTAGGAAGAAAATATAGGAATTGAGCATGTAACCATTTACTATAAATAAGAAACCGATTTTCATATTTTTGTCTTAGGTTTCAAGTGCTCTTGAGGTCAATATAGAGCTTTCTATAAAAGAGACTCCAACCAAGTGAAAGGTGGTGGTGGCAGAGGGAGAAGGAGGGGCATAAGAAGGAACTAATAAGCATTTTTAATGACTTACATCCGAACAATTTCCAACTAAAGATACTGAGCTCTTTTATTAACATTTGAAGAGGAATAAAATGAGATCACAATGAACTTATCACCATATCAAAAGAATTAATGACACAAACATCATTGTTGCATATCAAACGCACAAACTTAGTAATACTGAATAGATCCATGTTAATCCTATTTTTTCCAATTCATCTAAAATAACATCACTAAATATAGAACACAATTAAGTAGAAAAATATTTTGCCAAAATTTAATTTTGAAACCATAATTTATGTTGGAAACCAACTGGTAAAGGGTGAGGAATCCGCTTGCCTCATTCAATGGAATACAGAATGGCATCTGATAAAGAAAAGCTGCCTATGACAGTATAAAATAAATATGAATGCTAAATTCTTATTTCAGTTAGAAAGCCTGAACCCACCATCTGTAGTGGCCATCTTGCTAAGGGAATATGTACCTAACAAATCTCTTAAGAGGCACTCCCAATCTGCTTGAATGAGCTATTGTATAAGAAAACTTGGAGCAACCACTTTGGCCTCACATTTCCTTCGCTCCACATCCTGTGGCACAAAACATGAACTCAGCAGGCTGGGGTGCAGGGCTGCCTGCTGCCTTGTGATAATCCCCTCTCCCAGTAGGGGCCTCCACTGATGCATGGCTAAGAACATGCTTCCTCTTTTGCTTGCACCCCAGTGGGGTTTCCATTCCTAACTTGGGCCCAAATCCAGACTGCCAAGGAAGGTGGAAAAGTTAGAGGACTCCAGATGCTGCCAGAGATAATTTTGGATTAGCTTCTAAACAATCATTTGTTAGAAAGAGAAGTACAGGTATGGTGTGAAGACCAGCAGGCTGGTATTTTTGGAGAGATTCTTTCCCTCCTACCCCTGACCAGATCTACAGTCTAACTACCACCTGTTCAACAGAAGCTGGCTGTTTGCCTCATTTTCCTTCAGGGAGCCACTGACTAAGAATCTTCACCAGCATGAACCTAATGCCTCCCGACAGGCCTTCACTAGCCAAGAGGGACCCAGGTCGAGTGCACCAGTTATTGGTCACAGGATACACAGCCCATAGAAAGACTCCTGTGGTGCAACCAGCTGAAAGCCAACCAGAGAAGATGGAGAGTGTACATTTGTCCTGACACAGCTTTGCTCCTGCTGGCTGCCAACTCACTCCATGTCTGGGGCCAAGCTTCTGTTAAAACTAGTCTTCTGTGGATAAAGCCATGGTAAAGCCTTGGGTAAACATATTATCTTCCCAAATTCATTCAAAAAGAAGTTAACCATGGGTATGACACAAGACTACTGGAGGAAGTCGTGTCTTTGGTAGAGGGTTTGACACCATGGTTTGAAGGGGCATTTCAGTCATTTAAAGGAACATTTATAATTCTAATAGTAAATTGACAAGATGGCTTGATTAGATTTTAGAATAAAGAAGTTGATGATGGATGAAGTTTGTGAGAAGGTGATAGCAGAGGTGGGGGACTGGGATATAAATAGTTTCTTTACTCTAATCCCCTATACTTGTCAAAGGGTCTGGCCAGAAACACATTCTGGCACAAGGGATACATAAATGTACTCTAGACACTGTTCAATAACAGATGCTATCTAAAGTAGCCAAATAAAACTTCTCCTTTCAGGTATGAAAAGGTGGTTAAAACTGGCCACTCAGAAATGTTATAATCAAGAAATCTAGGTTGTTTCCACACTGTGCAATCACACTAAATACAGTCTTGGCAGTTAATGCTGCTGTCTGTTAAACATTTGTCTGTAAAACATGCACGTGGCATAAAAAGGGAAAGCAAGACAATACACCCCTACACTTATCACTGTATGTACGTGCCTGTTTTAGTAAAAAGAATCTGGCACTTAGTGAGACAAGCATAAAGACTGGTGATCCACCACCATAACCAGCAACTTGACTCACCTTAACTATTTTCCAAGCCTTCTCTGGAACTCTGGATACATCACTTCTGAGCCGTACCACCTAAAAAGCACAAAGTTTAGGGACCTGCCATCTGCTGCCAGGGAAAAGAGAACAGAAGGTCTTCCTAATCTCAGATTTAGGGAAAAAGCGACCAGGATCTTTGTGGCTATTACTTAAAATAGCCTTAGGACTTTGATTTTATGCTGGAGTCCACGAGCAGAGGAATGGTAAAATTCTGCTCAAACTCTGGAATGGGTTTACTTTAATGGAGTAATTCAAGAAACCAATGACTCAAGGTAGCCCTAAAAAAATAACACATCATAAATAATATCTAATAGAACTATTTTTAAGAATCTCTTAGTATTGTTGCTTCCAATGAAGCACTTTCAGTTCAGAATCGTGGCAAGTGGGGCTAATGACTTAAATAGGCCAAGTAACCTTCTATGAGTAAATAAATTAATTTCTGTAGCTATTCAGAGGGTAAGTAAATCATATTGAACCTTCCACACTTCTTATGCACACTCTCCTCCAAATCCTGTTGACAGGCACACCGAATGACAGCTGCAATGGGTGTTAAGATCATTACCAGGTGACCACATCCACGTCTACCATCTTTATTTTATTCATGCATGTTTCCTATTAATAAAATCCTATTTGTTTACACATCACCTCTCTGAACCATGTTCCATTCCCTATATCCAAAACAATTTCTCTACCTTCCTCCTAAGAAATACTAAACTCTTCATCCCCTGGGGGGAAAACCTGAATGAAGAGAGATAATGACTCCAGTAACTGTGAATACCAATGACATCATCTACATTTTGACTATTCTGTCAAACCAACCATTTTCATTGTATTACCAAAATTTTCAAATAAATGCTCATGTCTAACAATTTCTCTCATTATAGCCCATTAATGACAACTTTACCCCAAATGCAATGGATCAGAGTTCATTTTCTGGTAGACCAGATATTAACATCTGGTTTTAACTCAGAGAAGGTGAAATTTGCATCCATAGGTTAAATCCTGCTTCCTTCATAGTCTCCTACATGAAAAACTAGCTACAACATATGTAATGGTCTAACTGTTGGACAAAATAATACACAGTTGTTCAGGAAGCATATTTTTTCTCTCGATAAGACAGACATTTGTTGAGTTTATGTTTTATACAACTTCAACTAGGAGAAAACACAATGTTTACTACAATGCTCATGGGGTTTTGAGTGAGCCTTTGTTACTTGCTAGCCAAGTACAGTGCTTCAAAACAGTCATTCAATATGTGTTTTTATTTAATGAATTAGTTCTATAACTCTAGTTAAATCACTTAGTCCCTCAGAGCCTCAGTCTCCTCACGTGTACAAAAGAAAGAACAGCATCAACATGAAAAATATCACTAACCAGGTAGTCTAGTAAGGCTGTTAGGGAATAAATTCTGAAGCTCAAGACCAGTAAGATTCCTCACATACTGGTTTTTTATTTTTCTTTTTTCTTTCTTTTTTTTCTTTTTTTTTTTTTTGACAGGCAGAGTGGATAGTGAGAGAGAGAGACAGAGAGAAAGGTCTTCCTTTGCCGTTGGTTCACCCTCCAATGGCCGCCGCGGCCGGCATGCTGCGGCCGGCGCACTGCGCTGATCCGAAGCCAGGATCCAGGTGCTTCTCCTGGTCTCCCATGGGGTGCAGGGCCCAAGCACTTGGGCCATCCTCCACTGTCTTCCCGGGCCATAGCAGAGAGCTGGCCTGGAAGGGGGGCAACCGGGACAGAATCCGGCGCCCCGACCGGGACTAGAACCCGGTGTGCCGGCGCCGCTAGGTGGAGGATTAGCCTATTGAGCCGCGGCGCCGGCTTATTTTTCAATTAATAAATTTGTTTGAAAGAGTTACAGAGAGAAAAAGAGACAGACAAAGACAGATACTGTTGGTCTGCTGGTTCACCCTCCAGATGGCAGCAATGGCCAGGACTGAGCCAAGCTGAAGCCAGGAGCCAGGAGTTTCTTCCAGGTCTCCCACTTGAGTGCAGAGGCCCAAACACTTGGGCTACCTTCTGTTGCTTTTCCCAGGCCATTAGCAGGGAGTTGGATTGGAAGTGGAGCAGCTGGGATATGAACTGGTGCCCATACTGGGTGCTGATTGCAGACAGCAGCTTTACCTGCTACACCACAATGCCAGCTCCTATACAGACTGATTTTGAACACATTGCTTACCATTTAAATCTTAGTTTCCTCAAATATATAATGAGGATGATGGTAGGACCTAATTTATGGAAATTTTAAGACAATTAAAGTTGCTAATTTATGTAAATCACTTAGAATAGTAAATTTTCATAAGTGTTAGTTATTATTACTAGCATGTACCAAGACAATAGTCCCATTTCTTTGCGCCTTATCTGTACTATGAGCTAGGTTATAGATAAGAGCACAGGTGAACAGACTTAATAGTGATTAAAGAAGAGTAGCTGGGGGACAGAGCCCTAATGAAAGGTAGCATAACTCCTAATCTTATATAATTGCTCTAGCCTTTTAGTTTTGCGAAGAAATAGGAGAAGCAGGAGAGTGGTGGCCAAATGAGGAGGGTAAAAAACAAAACAAAACAAAACAAAAACCATAAGTCTGTGGCAGCTGATGAGGTTTATCTCAAAGTTCATATTAAATTCTCAGGGTCAGGACTATTTTGGAATCATCACAAGTTTCCACTTCCCTTCTCAAAATAAGTTTCCAAATCACGGGGTGAGCAGATGATTTACAACCCTGTGTCCAATAAATTATCCAAATTTTCCCAATCGCGATCAATGAGTCCATCCAATTTTCTAAGTTTCATTAAATTAATACAGACAGACAAGGGTTCCAGAATGCTATCATTAGCTATCATTTAAATTATTAAAAAATTTTTTGATGGGCCCTCAGAAGGCAGTCTTTCACAGTAAGAACAGAAACACAATGTTTTTCATGTATCAATATAATATTACTGATCTCTGATACCATACTATAGATTCTGAATGATGTCTCCAATTGTGGGATGGATTATACCAAATATGTAATTTATCCTAGTTCTCTTGAGACTAATGGCTAGACAAGACTAGAGGTCAAATCTATAGTTGCAGATATGAATTTTTTCCTTGGGTAGTAACACATCTAATAGGGAGATGAAACTTGTGATGTTGGTCTCAGCCACCATACTCTGAACATAATCATGCCTAGCTTGATGGCTAATAGATAGGTAATGTAATACAGTGGAAAGCAAAATGAGTTCAGAACATGAGGATGTGGCTGAAACCCAGGGCTGCCCACTGAACAAGTTTTTAACTTTTCTGAAATTTTGCTTCATATTCTGTGAAATGAAGACAATCATAGTAAGTAGAAGAGTATTGAGAAAATGTAATGAACAGCTCAATACAGGTTAGATTAATACTGAAGATAAACTATATTTTCAAAGGTTTCCTATGTCTCTCTCATTCCACATTACCTGAAAATACAGAATTTTCAACTTATAGGATGCACAATGTCTAATACCCAGTACTTTGAATTTTAGGAAGGTTGGTGAATATTGTGCTGTTAGGCTGTTGCATTTGCTGTAAAGTGTTGTATTATAATCCATGTCTCATAAATGCTAATGAACAGATAAAAATAGAAGGGCAACTGAGAATTAATGCCACTAACCATGAAAACATTTCTAATAAGTCAGAAAAGTGGGCAAGAGGGAAGCATGGAATGAAGTGGGCATAAAAATTGAAGAAAGGAAAAGAATAAATGACCAAAAGGCCTTTAAAAATAAAAGTAAAGTTAAAACAGAACTAGAGAATTATAATTTTTTGCAAATGTGAAACCCCCAGTGTACTAAGGTATACTACATGATGCATCTGATGCATTTCAGCATTTTTTATTTTCCCCATCAAAAGTTCCCAACTAAACTTACTAGGTGTGGGAGATTTTCCATAGAATTGCAATTCCAATTTTGTAATGGAAATCAGTCAGAAAATACAATTCACATTGGAAAAACTTGTTTCAAAGCCAACTTGCTTAAACACATCTCAGTAAAGCAAGGGATACTGACACTGGGGAACCACGCAGGCCTGGGGGAAAACAAAATCCTAATAAGTATGCCAAATGTGCTTTTATATATCAAGACTTCTTCAACAGAAACATTATGGGGAGATAAAAATTAGGAAAACACTGAACTTAACTAATTTAAAGTGTTGAAAAAGTATTTTGCATTTATGTTTTATAACCAAGTGTTTTTCCCACATTTGTCCCAAGGCAGCAGATGAAGCACTATATTCAACCATTGCTAATACTAGCAATTGGAACATGCTCTTTGGCAAGGCAGAAATAAGATAATTGTTCAACATAGGCTGGCTTTTCAGAAATACTGGAAGCATTGCCTGTAATTATAGACATCTGTCACTGCTAGCCACTCAGTACTAACCCTGACATCAATATACAACCATAGCACTAAACTGCCTGCAGGCATAGCAATGGAGACCAGATACGCTAGGCAGGCAATCATCTGCTTCATCCAAACTATCTGTCAAAGGTTCCCAACCACAAATAGCTCTTACATTTTGTATCCTTAGGATAATATGTTGATTTATTTTAGATTCTCTAATATTTACAGTCTAGGCCATCTACTAAAATAAAGAAACAAAACTTATGGCTAATGGAGGCAGTTACTGTTCACAGTCATCATAAAAGGTCATAGCTCAACCCTCAAATGTTAAAAATTGATGGCAGCTTTAACCATGTGCTATCATACAGATGTTTCCTTTTGTAGAGGCAATTATTTTCAATAGCAATTCAAAATGGTAAATACAATCTTTCATCAGCGAGTATGTTGCCACATTGATCTAATAGAAATGCTCATATTTTAAAGCTGTTTTTGAGACATAAAAATAAGTTTCAATGTTGAGTACTGAAGAATCTGGATTGTCAATTTGGGATTAACTTTATATATAGTACCTTATCTGGCAATATTTTTTACAAACAGAAATGATATGATACCTAAAAACTAGGAAATTATATTGAATGATAAAATACTTGGTTAATGAAGGAACCAACTAATATAATCTTG